CTCGGTTTAGCAGGTTGCCTGGGGACTGACAGGGGGGCACTGAGACCCTGGCAGGCTGGGGGCTCGCCAGGAGCTCATGCAGGGCTGCACATGGGCCACAGCCCTGCTGAGACAGGCCCAAGCAGCTTCGCAGCCACAGCCCCGCAAGCCACTGCAGGCTGGGTCCTGGGGCCTGGAGGCAGCGCCATTACCTGCATGGGGGCAGCTGCGCCCACGCCCCGAGGAGCCACATTGGGAGAGCTGCGGAGCAGAGCCACGGGATCCCTGCACATGGGGCCCTGGGCAGCATCACCTGGGAAGAGACACGCAGTGTGGGGCTGAGGGCCCCGGGCTGGGGCTGCCCTACACCCCCTGCTCCTGCCTCCCCTGCACAGGGGCACCTAGGGGAGGAGTCCCGGGTCCAGGCCCCACATGGGTCATGGCTGCACATGCATGTTGGACATGCCTGTGCAGGTGCTGCCCCCTGCTGGGGAGTGGCCGCCTCTGCGCCACCTCCTCCCCTCTCCCCAGCCGGGCTGGACCCAGAGCCAGTGAGCCCCATGACGGCCGGAGCAGGGAGCAGAGACCCCGCACTCACCCGTGCCGGAAGAGGCCTCTGCTGTCACTGGCCCAGGGCTGCCATCTGCAAGTGCAGGCTCCTGCTGGGCCCTGCAGCCTTGTGCCCCTGTGCCCGCACGAGCATTTAGGAAGAGCAAGTGAAGGGCATCAGGGGGCACCAGGCACAGACAGACCGGGAAGGGGGCTCCACGCAGCCCCAGGCTGTGCAGCCCAGGACCTGGCTGCTCCCTCCGACACCCCAGGAGGCTGGGACCCAGGCCTGGCTCCCCACCCCAGCCCCAGGCTCCCACTGGCCCTGCCTGGAGCAACTGGTGCCAGGAAGCCCCCATGGATGCAGGGAGACAGGGAGCAGAGCTCTGCCACCTACAATGGGCAGGCGCTGGCAAGGACCGTGCTGAGCTCCTGCCAGCCTGGGGCATGGACAGTGGAGCTGTGTGGCACAGAGCAAGGGCAGCTGTTTTTCCCCCCAGGCGTTCGGGCTTTGCCAATTGCTTCATGGGGTTAGAAAGGATTTTTTTTCTCTCTTCTGCTCTTGCTCTGTGCCATGGGGGTTAAAGTCTCTCCCAGAAATGCCGAGTGCTGGCTGCAGCCCAGACCAGGGATGGGGCTGGACTGTGCCAATGCTCCTGCTGGAACCAACCCTGCAGGGTCCTGGCTGGAGGGTCTTGCCCCCACGCTCAGACCAGTCACCACAGTTGGGGTCAAGGAGGAATTTTACCCCATGGTCAAGACTGGTCCAGACTGAGGGGTTGCCTTCCTCTGTAGCAGGGGCATGGTCTCCAGCTGGGGTCTCCCTGGCGTGTATAACCACCGGTACAGAGCACGCCGCCAGTCACTGCCACCCCCCTGTTTTCCCTGTGGCCAGTTTGGGCATGAGACCCTGTGGCCGTGTCAGGTTGATCATGCAGATTTCCCAGGAGGTTGGACCACATGTGTGTGGGCTGGTTTGGACAGATCTTGCCGTGGGCAGGGGTCAGACTAGAGGTGACCTCCAGAGCACCCTGCCAGCCTCATGGCTCTAAGATGCAAGGACCCTATGCCCATGGCCTGCCCCAGACGTACCTTCGCCCAGCCGGACTCGCTTGCAAGGAGGCAGGCTCCTGGGGGAGGCGCTGGCTTTGGCAGGAGGCTGTAGTTGGGAGCGCAGTGCCACAGCTGTGGCTGGCACAGCCCCAGCGACAGCCCTCCGCGGAGGCAGCCTGCTCCGGGCAGCCTTGGCAGCGGCTGAGAAAACAGGAGCAAGCATTGGGCTGGGGAAGACCTAGCTGGCCAGGGGGGCATGCACCTGGAGCCCCAGCTGGGGCCAAGCACCCCCCCCAGACACACCTTGCACATGGCTGGCAGAGTACGTGGTGTTGATTCCCGGAGCTTTGTCCTGGGGGCTGGATGTGGCCCCCAGGGGCTGGGGGGCTCCAGCAGGAAGTGGCGGGTTGCCAGGGCCTGGCTTCACGAGCTGCCGCCTGCTACCTGGGGGAGGGGAGGAGAGGAGACGAGACGAGAAGTTCACAGCCCCGAGGGCAGCGGCTGCCCGAGCCAACAGGCCTTGGGCACAGCCAGAGCCAGCTCACCTGGGCGAGGTGGGAGTCCAGTCCCAGGAGCCCCGGCCCCTTTGCTGGATCCAGGTAGCTCCATCCCCACAGGAGCCTGCAAGCCCCCAGGACCAGCTCTGCTACCGCCCAGCCCCGGGAGCCTGGATGGGGGCCGCAGGCCCGTGGAACACTTCCCGATGCTGAGCAGCTTGGCACTGCTCTGCTTCACCGCGGTGCTGGCCGGGACCTGCAGCCAGAGATGAAGCACCCGGGTCAGAACCTGCTGCGGGACCTGGGCTCCTGCTCCAGGCTGTGACTGGGATTTCAGGGGCTCAGCACCCCCAAACTCCTGCCCTGTCTCTCTGCCAAGAGAAGCTGGCAGCAGCCCAGCGTCCTGAGCAAGGGGCTCATGCTGTGGCCGCCGGCCCCACTCACCTGCGCAGGAGGCTGGACCTTTGTCTGCAATCCCAGAAGCATGTCCCTGGTGCCAACCGGCCGCTGCAGTGAGAGCCGGAGGTTGCTCAGGGACACGCGGCTCAGCTGCCCTGCCAAGGCACAGCCTCTGCTCGTGGGGGCCCTCCGGGAGCTGCAGGATGTGGGGGTCAGGTCCTGCAGCGCTGTTGGGATGCTGCAAGCTGCCATCCTCGGCCTGACTGGAGCTGTGCCCTTGGCGGTGTCGTTACTGCCAGCAGGCTCCTTCCCCCTGGGGGGAATGGGCCTGGGGGAGGCAGGAGGTGCAGGCAGGTGCTCGGGCACTGCTGTGCTGTGGGTGCTGGTGACTGGGCCGGGTTGGACAGGGCTCTGGCTTACAGGGTCACCCAGGATGGTGGTGGTGGAGCTGCACAGGTCCCTGGGCTCCAGGTCAGCCCCGAGCAGGCTGCCCTGGGCTGTGCCTGGGACAGCGGTGGTGGAGACGTGGGGGTCCCTGGGCTCCAAGTCATCCCCGAGTGGGCTGCCCTGGGCTGCACCCAGAATAGCAGTGGTGGAGCCGCGCCAGTCCCTGGGCTCCGGGTTGTCCGTAAGCGGGCTGCCCTGGGCTGCATCCAGGATGGCAGTGGTGGAGCAGTGCGGGTCCCTGGGTGTCCCGGGCAGGCTGCCCCGGGATGCACCCAGGATGGCAGTGGTGGAGCCGTGCCAGTCCCTGGGCTCCGGGTCGTCCCTGAGAGGGCTGCCCTGGGCTGCACCCAGGACGGCGGTGGTGGAGCAGTGCGGGTCCCTGGGTGTCCCGGGCAGGCTGCCCCGGGATGCACCCAGGATGGCAGTGGTGGAGCCGTGCCAGTCCCTGGGCTCCGGGTCGTCCCTGAGAGGGCTGCCCTGGGCTGCACCCAGGACGGCGGTGGTGGAGCAGTGCGGGTCCCTGGGTGTCCCGGGCAGGCTGCCCCGGGATGCACCCAGGATGGCAGTGGTGGAGCCGTGCCAGTCCCTGGGCTCCGGGTCGTCCCTGAGAGGGCTGCCCTGGGCTGCACCCAGGACGGCGGTGGTGGAGCCGTGCGGGTCCCTGAGAGGGCTGCCCTGGGCTGCATCCAGGACGGCGGTGGTGGAGCTGCGCGGGTCTCTCAGCTCCAAGTCATCCCCCAGCAGGCTGCACCGAGCTGTGTCCAGGAAGAAGGTGGTGGAGCCGTGCAGGTCCCTTAGCTCCAAGTTGTCCCCAAGGAGGCTGTCCTGGGCTGTGCCTGGGACAGCAGTGGTGGAGCTGCGCGGGTCCCCGGGCTCCGGGTCGTCCGTGAGCAGGCTGCGCCGAGCCACATCCAGGCCGGCGGCGGCGGAGCCATGGGGGTCCCTGGGCTCTGGGTCGCCGGTGAGCAGGCTGCGCGGGGCGGCGTCCAGGAAGAAGGTGGTGGAGCCGTGCGGGTGGCTGGGCTCGGGGCCAGCTGCGAGCAGGCTGCGGGGGGCCCGGGCCAGGGCCGGGGCGCGGGCGCAGGCGAGGG